AATTTTATATTTATCAATTTATGTAAGAAAATATATTAATTAATTATTATTTTTTTAAAATAAATTATTGTATTTTCAAAAGTTTTGGAAAAGTCAAAAGAGATATTTTATTTATTTATAAAATATCTTTTATTAAAGTAAGAATAAAATGCTCTTCTTTTCAGTAAAATATTAAAATAAAAAAATAAAAAAATTATGTATTTATGCTTAAATAATTATAGCAGTAGAAAGTGAATTTATTTTCTTATTATTTTATAAAAAATTATGCACACATATTACTACTGCATGTAGAGAGCATCTCATAGTTCTTGAGATTATTTTATATAGAAATATATGAAAGAAATACTTATGAAGCATGGTCCAACTGAAATGATTTTATTAGTATATGTAGTAAGTAGAAAAACATATCATTCCTCGTAGTTGTAGAAAATATTCATATAATATGATAGAATGAAGTAAAGAAGAAGACTTTCGAGTGGATAGAAAAAAGATAAATTTAATTTTAATTCTTAAATAAGAATCCAATAATTAATACATCTAAGCCGAACACGAACAACACGAACAACACGAACAATATTTGTTTGTTAGTATTTGCTCGTTTTGACTCGAAATACTACTAATCAATTATATATATATATATCTTTGATGAGCAGTATTTTTTAAAAATTTAATTGACTACAAGGCTACAAAGATTTATAATTAATTAAAAGTATTAATGAAGAAAATAAAATAAAAATTATTAAATTAGATTCACATGATATTTTAAATTCTCTCCCAATCCTTAACATCTTATGGCTACATGATTAGAGTTGTCAAAATGACTCTATGTTCGTGAACGCTAGCAAAGCAAACAAGCCGAACAAGAACACACTTTTTGAGCTCGAAATATGAACGAGCCGAAACTGAATTGAGTCCGAGCTCGCTCGTGTTCGGCTCATTTACACCCCTACGAGTGCAGCTAGAAGAAGACGTTGTCCTTTAGAGAACAGAATGCGGTTGTACTGAACAACTTGAATTAGCTTTCACAGCTGTAGAGTGTGGATTCTTCTAAGCCATGTGACATGGCAAAAAAAATTAAAGATTTACATACTTACCATTCAGCTCTCATGTCATATATTTACATATTTTACCACTAAATTCTAATTTTTATACGCGCATGTGCCGCAAGCATTGGTCAGTTGGTGGCAGGGTCATTGTAAGTAAGGGTGTAAACGAACCGAATACGAACGAAAAGAGCTTGTGTTCGTGTTTGGTTCGTTTGAAATTTAGTTTGTTTGAAATAAGCTTGTGTTCGAAATTGTTCGTGAAGTCACTGTTCGTGTTCGTTTTTTAACGAACGAGCCGAACATGAGTTGTTCATGAACGTCGAGCCACTTTGGCATCCCTAATATTAATATATATAAATAATATATTATATTAATTATATAACTTATATTATATAAATATATATTATCTATATTAGTATATTACTAATATAGTATATTAATATATTATTATTATTAATTTATTATATATTATAATTTATAAAATTTAATTTTAATATCATAAATTTTTTATATATAATTATTTTAAATTATTTTATATTTCGAATAAAAACGATTCAAACACGAACGAACGCACCATTATTCGTGTTTGATTTGTTTAACTAACCGAACGAGATAAAAAATGTTCACGTTCGTCCCCTCAAACGTGAACACGGACTCATTGACGAACTGTTTGCGAATAATGAGCTTTTTTGACAGCCTTAACTGTAAGTCCCCTCAGATTAAGGGTTCAATCCCACCGTGGCATGGGAGCTCATAGTATGGGCTCTCATCATAGGGCCAAAAAATGCATGAAAAATCGATATTTAGACATCTGTCAAATATTATTTGTTTATATATATATCTGTGTGTATGTATGTATAAGCTAAAATGACAACATTTGATGTGATATAAAAATATTAAAGAAAAATAGGAGTTCGATATGTAAAAATATGGGAATTGGGGGGTATTTATGTAAAAAGAATAAAAAAAATTAAAGCAAAGGTGGCATGCTGTTTATTTTTGGTCAGACGAAAAAGGCTTGTGGTGGAATTTTGTACGTTTAGCCAATTTGATTTATTATACTCGCACGTGTTAACTGCCATGTATTTTCATGGAAATCAAAGAGCTTGAATTTTGAATTCCTACCGAGTTTTTTCGACTATTTTAGGAAGCCTTCAAAGCACATTAAATTTCACGTTTATTTCCAAAAGTATTAAATTTAGTATGATTTTTTTTTTTTCAAAATAATATTAATTTGAAGGTACCACGTGAGAGGATATTCAGCTCTATTCTGTGGTCAATGGGGCGGAATGTATTTGCATCATCATCATCATCATTTTTGTATAAGATATTTTCTACGATGGTGTCATGAATAGCTTGTAATGGAGCATCGCCTAAGACTCCAATTACTCCCATCATTTGAAATGAGTTCAACTTTTAATTACGAAACCCTGGGGAGAGAAGGATGAATCAAAATATAGATGATAGTACCATATAATGATTCCAACAAACATAATCAATTTGAACCTTAAAACTCAGTAAATCCCAACATATGTTCTACATGGGTTACCATTTCAAATGGGCAAGCTTTGTAATACAATTTAAATAGTATAAGCTTGGATTTCCTAAAGATGTAGGACTCAAGTAAGAAAATTGATATTATTGTAGTTTTTCTAATTTTTCTTTTTTTTTTTTTTTTTTTCATTTTGCATTATTGTCGCCCCCACACCCACCACCCTCGCCCCAGACGCCAACCTCAGCCACCTCCACCACCCCAGCATCAGCCACCACCCCTGCACCCGCCTCCACCACCACCCCTACCTCCACCCCGACTGTAGTAGAATTGAGTGCATCAGAGGCACATGTTATCTCTACCGAGCAAAAGTCGACAGGCAGCAGCTACCATAACAAGTATGTTGGCAACACACAAGTTTTTTTTTTAAAAGATATTTTTAGTAATTTTTTTTATTTTTTAATTGAATATAAAACAAACAAATTGTTGTTTTAAGGTTCCACCCACTGACTGAGATTATTCATGCATGCATGCATGCATACATATATTCATACATACATGCATATATATGTACGATGAAAAAACGGGCGACTTTCTACACGTTGGAAAAATTGTTCTAATTATCGATGGTTTTGCACTATTTTTTATCTTGGTTATTTACGACGATATAACTATAACATATATTATCTTTTATCTATAGTATTTTGTTTCTGACTATTTTTAATTATAACCGACTAAGTAACTCATCAGCTAGAAGCAAAAATTAGCTGATGAATTGTAGGCCACCCGCGATCGCGCGTTGCCTTTCTTTATCGCTGTCGTTATCGTTGCCGTTGTGAAGTCGCCAGTTTCTTTTTTGTTGTATAACATCTCTCTCCAAGTAACTCTCTGATTGTATGGATGATCTGAAAATAAAAGAGATCAAATAGCTAAGGTATACAATGATGGGAACAAATAAAAGAAATGTGTGGGGAAATTTTTATGAGATGGACTTTCTGTAGATAGTTATTATTAGTAGCTACGACATTGAATTTTGGTCATTAAAATTATGGTTTGAATGAAGGTTATATAGATTTGATAACATGCAACTGAAATTAAAGTTTAAAATTTTATACTTAAGCCGATCAATTAATCAAACCAATCTCAACTGCAGCACAATTAGATCATGCCAATTGGCATGTGGCTGCATGTTCCACAATCAATTAGCAATAAATTGCTTGCACTGTGAATTTAGCTCAAAGATCGTTAATCACTTGAAAATTGATTCAAATTTTAATTAGATCGAATCAAGATGAACAAGTCAAGTTATGAGACAAAATTTTAGATTAAATATTTTCTAGCCGACCTAAACTCGGTTCAAAATCGAATCGTTTAATATCTTTAGTGATGTTGAAATTGCGAATTCAACAAATTTAGCTTGAAAATTAATTCGAATTTTTGCTCGAATCAAAATAAACAAGTTGAACCATAAGCCATAATTTTAGATTAAATTTTTTTCAAGTTGATTTTAAATCAACCCCAACGCAACTCGAAATCGAATGGTTAACCCAAACATTGCCGGAACACCTCATATTATTTTTGAAATAATAGTGAAACAAACTTCTTTAATGTTGCTGGACCGAAGAAAACATGTGAACTTTAAGAGAATTTAATGTATAAGGGCCTATGGCTCAAGAAATAATCATCAGAAAATCCAAATAACTTCTTAATATACAGTGGGCTTGAGCCTTACTTGCAAAAAAAATCTCTACATAATTTGCATTGCTGTTGCCATATATATACCCACCATTTATCTTAATTTTGCATTTATCGGACTGCACATACTGTGAAAGGATGAAAACAAAACCTGCATTTTTACAACCCCAAGCGAGCGAACAATTATAGATAGATATATATATCTCTCTTAAAGGAAATCAATATTTAGCAGATGTCCAAATATCGATTTCCCATATGTTTTTTGGCCTCATGATGAGAGCCCACATCATGTGCCTAAAATTTCAGAACCCCCGCATCACGGTAGGATCAAACCCTTAACCTAAGGGGACTTACAGTGACCCCGCCACCAACAGGCCAAGGCTTGTCGTGCGAGCACGTGCGCACGCACGCACGCACACACACACACGGTGAGATCAAACCCTTGACCTGAGGGGACTTACAGTGACCTCACACACACAAATATGCATATCTTGAAACAAAACCGAGTTGATCCTTGCCATGGAACGTAGGATGAACGGCTGAGGTACTGGGTTTCCCACATACAAATATCATGGCAATGGGGTTGGATCAGATCAGACAATTCACTTAACTTCTGAGTTAATGACTTTTAGGTTTATTAAACATAATAAGGCCTGAGTTTAAGGCCATTAGCATAGTTCTACTATAGCATCAGGTTCAGCTTAGAGAAGACTGCCATATGGAAAAAGGAATTTCATTCCATGTAAACTTCACAAGTTTATAACATCCAAAACAGCCTAAAACTATATCAAATATAACATAATAAATAACATATTTGCATCCTATAGAACTAGCATATTGAGCAAAAACAAGCTCTACTGTGCAGATCTTCCCTAAATCAAAATCATGCTGCCAAAAAAAAAAAAGGAAAAAAAAGGCTAAAACAAATCAGCCCGAAGGACTTGATTATAACAAGCTTAATATTGATACAATTATCTTAAGAAAAAAAATGCAAGCGCTATTGTGAAAAACAAAGGTATAAAAGGGCTTATCGGTTTCTTGTATGAGAACCCCGTATAGTGACACCATGCAAAAATTTGGTATAGCCTAGCAAGCTAAGTTTACCATCAGCGGGCCGAATCCAATCACGTACATTGGAATAATTTGCCGGAGTAAGGTTCAGCTCCTACAAAATCAAATAAGGATCACTGAATTTAAGAAAAATGTATTTGATAAAAGAGGAGGTAGAGTTTGGCAAAGAGGTTCGGTACCCGAGCCAGCTCTTCGACTGACATGACTCGATTACCCTCCTGTTCGAAGTGCTCAAATGCTGTAGCCGCGATCTGCTCCCATCGTTCCACCGCCTCCAACTGATACGGGCTAATTGCGGCTGCACAAAACTCTTCAAAGTCCATCTTTTTGTATGACAGGGGCTCCAGCTGATATGTTATCACAACCAGCCTATGTTAATGTATGGTAGTTTAACTGAGAAATAAAGTTTCCAGTAGAAATAAGATAGCTGAATGCTTGAAAGATATATATAACATAACATATTCTACAGACCATTCAAATAAATTACAGGATGGCTCATGGCATGAAATAGCAAAGAATCAAATCGATTTTCTAATAAATAAGTTTATCTGGGCTAGTTTATTTGTTTATTGATATGAAATATTATTTTTAGTATCTATTATATTAATTAAAAATACATCAGAATATACATATTTTATTTGAGAGAGATCCAGGTCAATCCCTCTTTTGAGTTTTACGTGAGATGACTGCCTCTTCAACAGAAAAAAGGTAGCACTTGAGAGAAAGGGGGAAAAAAAAGATAAATTAAACCTTCGTGTAAGAGTATAGAACCAATAAACCCATCTGGAAGAAGATATGCAGTCTATTAAAAGAAGCATATTTAAATTTTCAATGTCATATTATATAAAAATCAAACACACAATATTTGACTGACAACAACAAAATTTTTCTGATCTAAGATGATAATTGAATTGAGAATAAAAAACGTATCTGACTGACAACAACAAAATACATGGTCTTCTGATCTAAGATGCAAAATATAAAATAGTTTCAACAACAACAACAACAAGCCTTTATCCCACTAAGTGGGGTTGGCAACATAAATAATTTTTCTCCATTGCGTCCTATTGAGTGTCATATTTTCATTTAATTCTAACAAATTTTAAGATAATTTTTTGTACAATATGCCCAAAACTTTTTAGGTCTACCTCTATCTTTCTTAAAATAAGTCAAATCTAAAACATCTACTCTCCTAACTAGATCATCAGATGGTAAACGTTTAATACGACCAAACCATCTAAAGATCACTCTTTAAACTTATCCGCCACTAGAGCTACACGAACCCTATCATGGATACATCCATTATGCATTTTGTCTCTAAGTGTCAAGCCACTCATCCACCAAAGCTTTTTCATCTAAGCAACACTTAACTTTGTTTTATGCTTCTCTTTTTAAGGCCAACATTCCGCCCCATATAACATTGCAGGTCTCACCATCTTATAAAATTTTTCTTTTAGTCTAAGCGGTACTTTTCTATCACATAATAGCCCCGATGCATTCTTCCACTTCAACCAACAAACTTGAATTCTATTAATAACATCCTCATCCATATCACCATCACTTTGAACAGTAGACCCGAGATATCCAAGACTTTCACACCTTTTAATGATATGATAACCCAAAGTTACAACTCTGTCACTATAGCTACTAATACTACTAATATTACATTCCATATATTCAGTTTTAGTTCTACTCAAACCAAGGTCTTTAGACTCCAATGTACACCTTCATAATGCAAGTTTTTCCTAAACTCTTTCTTCAATCTTATCCACATGAAGGATATCATCAGTGAAAAACATACACCAAGGTACCTCCTCCTGTAAAGGTCCGGTAAGAGCATCCATAACTAAAGCAAAAATATATAGGCTTAAAGTCGATCCCTACTATAATCCAACTGACATAGGAAAATACTTTGTCAATCCTCCTTCTGTTCAAACACAAGTAACAACTCTAGTATAAATATCAACCAAAATACCAAAAATGTTCTGATAAATTCAATAGTTATAAAATTTTAAGATTATAGCAAAATCTAAAATATAATGTCACTATGTATTCCATGTTTATCATCATCCATTGAAGCATAATAAATTAGGTTTGTTTATTTTTAATTTTATTGGAATTTATTTAAATTGTGGTTTTGAAAATTTTTTATTTATATTATGTTAAATTATCAATTTAAATAATTCTTGAAAATTTTGAGAAAGATATATTTGATTTTAAGATCGATCCTACATGCACTCATATTTCTATAATAAGTGAGGAGGGTTATAAATGAATTGAGATTGAATTTTTCTTATGGACACTTCAATGAATCTTCTCTTTTTGCGAGTTCCTTATACTTCTTTCTCTCTAACTTTGCTCCATTCCTCATTCATTCATTCAACTACTTATCCTATCTCTTTATGTCTCTAATTCTTTTAAATCAATGCATATTTATGTTGCACTGCACTATAGCAAATTGGTATCAAAGCCTTCATCATAGTCGTAATCCTTATCGATCCACTTCTCATTGCTTGTAACTTTGGATGTGATTTGCACCACTCCACGCCAACTCAACACCCATGCCCACATCCATCAACTTTCTCCACTCTTTGCACCATGCTTCTGCAAATCAACCTCTCACGCCCCACACATTTTTCCTAGAGTTCCATGCTTCTAAAAAATGTCCATATCACATATTCACATGACTGCTTCTAAAAATATAATGATGTCATCTCCATCTTTTTTGGCTTCGCCATCTCTTCAATTGTGATTGCCATATCTCACCTACCCTAGCAGCCTGACTACATCCTCTTTTGCTAGTGTGCCCTTTTTCAGCATAAGCACATGTATGCTATGTCACTCAAGAACCCGTGCTCACCTTCTTTCTAACCGAATGCACCCCAACTAGTTGCCCACACTCAAAATGATTGACCTGCTTTCACTTTTGCTCATATATTACTTGTGATCTTGTATGTTTTCATAACTCAAGTCTCACAACAACTGCTTGAACTAATCAAAAGTTCAACCCTCATTCTGCATCCTTCCCACTCTCTTGCACCACTCACTCAATTTCTTGCTCAAATCACTCCACGCACCTTATTAAAAAAAGTTGGCCTTGTTTACTTAGCCAAAAAGTGATGTTAGCTTTGAGTCTATTTATTTTATGTGCATGAAGAGCTTCTAAAGCTTTAATGAATTTTAGAGCTTTGATGTCCAAGACTATCTATGACAAGTCTTCTATCACTACTGAGGATAACAATGATGTCCATCCACTTTGTTCCTTCTTGGAATGGATTTCACAATACTACCACCTTCTCTAAGATAGATTTTTCATTCATCTATCCACTTCATAATGAATTTTAGCTGCTCCGTAGCATAGTTGATGACCTTCTGTTCTTCCACTAGCAACACTGTAACTCTTCAGACGACTTTTTTGTAGCCCCAAAAAACTGATGAAACATGATACATTAGGTTTAAGCCATCCTAATATTATAAGATCTATTAAATCAAGATTTGGAATTTATTACATTTAATTTATGTTAAATTAACATTTAGGTCATTTTAGATAGTTCGGAGAAAGACAGATTTGATTTCAAATTAAACATAGCTTTAGATTTTAAATTTTCAAAACTTCAGTACCAAAATTCATGTGTAGACTTTAGAATGGTATTTCCTTCCACTCAGGACTAAAAAAAATTGTAGTTGAATTTAATATTTATATTTAATGAAACATTAAATTTAAAATTTCAATACTTCAATGCCAAAATTCAAGTGTAGAGTTTAGAAATGTTATTTCCTTTCATTTAGAGTAATTTCAAAGCACTTTCATGCAAGTTTGGCCTGTCAAAGCAACTTCCCCCATTCAACTTTGAAGCTTGCATAAAGGTAAGATGGTTTGAGTGGCTACCACATCTACCCCTCTTTGTGTGGTCAGCTCTCATATTTCATTTCTCTCAGCTTTTTTGAATTTTAAATTATGTAGAATTGATGCAATCTTTAAATAAGTGTTGGATGAAAAACACCTATTGTAGAATTGATGCAAATCTTAGACCAGCTACAATAGGTGATCTAAGAAAAAAATTCATTATTTCTTACCCACGTGTCAGATTGGCCTAAAATCACCTCCATTAGTTAACATTCAAAAATTCATATACGGAGGTCCTCACCCATTTCCCCCAAAAAAATTTTGCCATCCCATGTAAGCAAATCTTGACCAAAAATCTATCAAAAAACTCAATAACTTGTCCAAGTTCCTTTTTTTAAGCTTTTAACATGAACCACAACCTCATCACGCCATCATGTTAGCCATCATCCACCTAGGTACATAATCTTGGAAGAATCGGATTGCACCCCGCTGTCATTTAATGATAAACCTTAATAATAAAGGGAAACCAAGGCTTAAATTTATTGTAAAGTGACTTAATGTGTTGGAGACCCTTAGAAAGAGGACAATTGTGTGTAGAGTGTGGTATCCTTTTAAAGTGGAGGTCATGCATGCCATGTAGAGGGGGTCAAATTCAATAGCACCTTGTTTTGATTTATAAAATTAGGATGGAAGAATAATGGAGCTTATATTGACTTTAGATCGAGTATGGAATGTCTAGAGATTAGAAATGAAGTGGGTAGAGAGGCTTCTTAAAATTTTTAGGCTTACAGATGGAGGATTCCTAAGACTAAATATTGGGAACTCTAGTTTGGTAGGCTGCCCTAAATAGTGTTGGAAAAGTAAAGGAGCGGGCTAATGGGGTATCTAGCTGCCATAATGACTTGGACGAGTTTAGGTGAATGGGTGGAGGATTATTTTGGAGTTGGCGGATGGATTCCAAGGGGCTTAGAAGTTTGTGGATGGAAAAACTATAAGCCTAGAACTAGTCTAGGTTGAGAACTTCTATTTTAAGTTTAAAATTATCTGTGTTGCAAAGGAGAAAGCCTCAAGGAGGTGGAAGGAAGTGGGGCAAACGTTATTATCAATTGAGAAGGGTTAGAGATAAAGGTCAACATAATACATGGGATGAATATTATTATCAGTTGAGTACACTTAGAGATGGAGACAACATGATACGCAACTAGCCCTCCCACCAAGGAGAAGCCAAGGTTGGCCATCAATTACCAACCACAAGAGAATTAATTTTAAAATTGTTTTCACTAAACCAAAACGAACTTTCATTCATCTCCAGTAATTATTTAAAATGATTTAAAATAATAAATAGAATGGGTGGTTGGCCAAACAAAGAGAGGACTGAGGGTAATCACTCAAATATTCTATTTTTAAGCAAGCTTCATATTTGAATAGGAGATTTAAATTTGGTTAGCCAAACAATACTTTAAAGGAATTCTAGGATAATTCTAAATGAAAGAAAATAACATTCTAGAGCATAAATATGAAGTTTGAAACTTAAGATTGGAAATCCAAAATTTATAGCTTAAATTTTGAATACAAATATTAAATTCAACTATATTTTTTCTAATCTAAATTTTTCATGCTTTTGATCATCATATGCTTGATGGCTTAATAGACGTTGATCTTGATTAACCCTCTAGTTTTTGATCTTGTAACAGGACCTTGATAATCAATATGATGTTCAACATGACACCTCTTGCCTCACTCTATAGCATTTCGTTTGAGTTCATCTTCTCTCTACTACTTCAATTCTCCTACATTGAATTCATCTAGCTAGATTTGTAGTCCTCTCCCTCCCTCACTCCCTTATCCTTTAGATTAATTATTACAAAACTTAAGATTCTACACAGACATTTGATGTAACTTATTTTCTAATATGATCCTCATTTCTCCACCTTTTGATACATTTTCCACGACGCTTCATGTCAAATCTACATCAAAATAAATTAGGACATTTTTTGCATTTTAAGTATAAAAAACCATTTCTCCTATCAAAATAACGTGCTCGCACCTAATGTACCTTCTTTTCTTTTAGCATCCTCATTTCTCCTAACTCTAAGGCTCTTTCCATATTGCTTCATGTCAATTTGTACATTTCTCCAATCAAAATAATGTGCTTTCATCTTGGAAATGTCTTATTATGGCACTTACTTGGAAGGTGTGAAGCGTAATGGACTTAACCTTACCTCACAAGGGAACCAAGGCGAACATCAAACTCACCCTTAACAACAATGTTTCATAAACTCCGAACCTCGCAGGTCTATCCATGTCCTTCCCATGAAATTTTCCTCCCAACATCCACTGTCTTGTTCAGCATCTCACAAAATTGCTCTCCTTTGATGCTATTTACAATTGGGGTCCACTATACAGGAAGATGCTAAAGGTAGTAAAATCACTGCTAACTAAGGCTGAACAAAAGAGATTGGGCTTTGAGAAGGCTCCAGGATGTTGGGAAAGCTGTTGTAATTGGAGTTCAAAAGAGTTACAAGTACAAGGGACAACGAAGCTGAGCCCGTCAAGAGTAAATTCTTCGAAAGCTTGGGTGCCATCAAGGTAACCACAACTTACATAGCATCAATCTGGTCTTAAAATGTGTTTTGAGACAGCAGAAAATTAAAAAATAGAATCAAAACCAAAGAGAATACAATTTTATCAAGATATAGGTCCAACCAAGGTAAATAAGAGTAAAACAACAGCTTAATGGCAATGCCTCAAATTATTCTTAAAACAAACTAATGACATGCCGCAAAATATAAAAATCTGTATAAAATGTTCATGCCAAAAGAATGGGAATAAGAATGTTAAGAAATAAGCAGCAGCTTTGAAAATTATAAATGTCAGACCGCATTTAGGATATCTGGAACCTTAGATTCCTTCATAGCATCAGTTGCATTCTGTAGAAGGGCCTGCAGTGAGTTCAAAAAATACATATGACCGCCAGAATGTAAGCATATAAAATAAGACAAAATTACAATTTAGTTGCACCCAAAGTCTTATTTAAATTGAACGGATGGACTGAAAATAATTGTACTAACCATTCTAAAATTTTCTAGAGAAACACGCCCATCTTTACCAGGTTGCAATAGCTGATACTGTGACCTTACATAGATAAGCTCGTCTTCAGTTAATACCTTAGATAAAGCCTGCAAAATAGTAAAAAAAAAAGTATCCAAAATAAAAATAAAAGATAAAACCAATTTCTAAAAAACTAACAAATTTGTACATATTTAAACGTCAAAAAAGGACAAGTTTGTAAGACCAAAAAACTTAGCAGCAAATTTAACAATTTAATGCGATACCATGAATGCATCATACAAAATGAAAGCCTTGGTTTTAACCACAGCACTTGAATTGTTTTGATCAAAGTAAAATGGACGTTTTTATAAAAAGTGTTGCTCATGCTGTGATAGCGAGATTAATGTTAAATCTTGGATGGATTTTAAATTATATCTTCACACCAGAAAATTAAAAAAATTAGATGAGTAACATTAAGAAATACAAGAACATGTCTCCAGTGATCAATGAAACCATCAAGATGTTTAAGACAAGCATTAGTGATGAGTATAGAGGTTTCACATTGCATTCTAATGTACCATCCACCACACATTCTAACTAAACAACACATTCTAACTAAACAACGTCCATATTTCCTAAACAAAAACCAAAATTTGAAAAATTATAATGAGAAGAAATGAGCATGTGATAATTAATATAATCCTCTATGTTTCAAAAAATACTAAGAGAAAGACCTTGATTGTAATATAACATGGATGGTGTTCGGAACATGGCAGTTTTTTAAGAAATTCATTGGATGGCCTGGTAATTCTTTCAATTAGAAGACAATAGGGACCAAATCCTCCTAGTTCACAAACTTAACAAATATATCTAACCTATATTTGGAAAGTAAATAACCTAAAATAAAAATAACAAAAAACATAAGTACAAAGAGAATAAAGCTAGTCAAGAGGTTTCCAAAAATATCTCCTCCCAAGCCAATCTTGGGAGATTCAAGAGTGGTTGGTCCTACGATTCTCAAAATCTTTTAAGATTTTCCACACTCCCACTCAAGCTGAGTCGTAAAAGTTGTAGAAACCAAACTTGGTATTGAACTTTGAGAATGTACTTAAAGGAAGAGATTTGGAGAAGATATCAACAACTTGTTGACATGTCGGGACATAGGCAAGTTGTAAATCTCACCATTAACCTTTTCAGAAAAGAAGTGTCTCAACTTCAATGTGATTGGCCCTGTCATAATGCAAAATATTCTTGGCAATACTTATAACTGTTTGACTATCACAAAAAATCTATATAGGCTTGGAGGTACACCTTAATTTCCTTAACAATATTTGAATCCACATCCCTTCACAAATTCCCAAAGCGAGTGTCTTACACTCAGATTTTGCACGGCTTCTAGAAACAACAATTTGCTTTTTATTCTCCATGTAACCATATTTCCCCATACATAGGAGTAGTAACCTGTTACCAACCTTCTGTCAGTGAGTTCCCCAGCATAGCTAGCATCAGTGTAAACTTCTATCACTTTGTTTCTAATTCTTTAAAAAATTTATTAATAACCATGAGTATATTTGAGGAATTTCAAAATCCTCTACACTATCTCCAAATATTCTTCATTTGGGTTATTCATGAGTTGGCTCACAATGCTGATATAATATGTAATATCTATCTAATATGTGATAGGTAGGCGAGTTTTTCTATCATTCTTTGATATCTTCCCTTATACACAGATATATTTTCTTCCTCCCTGTTAGACGTTTTATTAGGACCCATTGGAGTATCAGCAGGTTTGCATCCAATTAATCTTGTCTCCTTTAGAAGATCTATGATGTATTTTCTTTGTGATACAACAATATCTTTCTTAGACCTTGCTACCTCCATACCAAGATTCCAATGTTCTTCAATTTCCTTTTTATCATCACCAGTATGAATCAAATCATCCAACATACTAAGTGTAGCAATTTTACTTTCATAAATATGTTTTGTGAACAGAGAGTATGATTAGCTTGGCCTTGAGAATACCCATTAAATCTCATATTATTAGCAAACCCTTCAAACCACGCCCTTGTTCATTACCTAAGCCAATAGAAAAACTTCCTAAGATTGCATACTACGCGTTGGTTTGAATCATTCTCAAGTCTTGGTGGTATCTTCATGTACACTTCTTTTAGATTCCCATTCAAGAAGACATTTGTTATGTCTAAGTTGATGCAATCTTTGCTAGCTATTACTGAAAGCAGAATTCTAATAGTGTTCAGTTTGGCAACTGATGCGGAAAACTCTTGATAATCAATCCCATTAGCTTGAGTGAAACTTTTTGCGACGGATCTAGCTTTGATCCTCTCAAAACCCCATCAGATTTATATTTGATGTTGAGTACCCGTTTGTATCTAACTGGCTTCTTATCTTAAGGAAGTTTAGTAAGAATTCATGTATCATTATGTTTTAGTACTCAATGCTCTTCAATTGTTTTTCTCCATTCAAGATTTTCAAGGGCTTTATGAGTGGACTTCGATATATGTACACTATCAAAGTTAGATAAAAATGTTCTATAAGCTGAGGATAACTTCACATAAGCTACATACTCCTAAATTGGGTATCTAGTACAACTTTTCTTGTGATCAGCACCAAAAGAAGAAAGAAATAACTCATGAGTAAAAGACTCCTCTCCGAATTTTGGTAGGAGCATTTTATAATTACAAGTTGTTCCACCTACTTAAGATTTTTCTTTTCCTTAATGGACACACAAAGTTCTTTATTATAAACTTCACGTTGGGTTGTTTTGGCATCCTCAATAAGGATCAAAGGATTAGGTGGAAGAGATGGAAGTGGGGATGGAAAATAAGTAGGCTTTGTGGTCTTGTAGATGTCTTCAACTGCATCCCAAAATTAATATTCTTTTGCATTCTCCCCCTGAACATCGTATTTGATGTAGTAGGGTTGATTTTAAAAAGATGTGACATCCATGGAGTTGTAATTTATGGTAATAAGAGAGTAACATTTGTACCCATTTTTGTTTGAAGCATACCCAAGGAAAATATACTTGATAAATTTAGAGTCATGTTTTGTGCAATTTTGGAAATAGATGAGAACAGAAGATACACACCCAAAGATTAAGTGATATCGCAGAAGAGAAAGCTCTGATGTGGGGATAGGTAAACATTAAAACATGAAGTGGTGTTTCAAAGTTAAGCACATTGATAAACATTCAATTGATAAAGTATGTAGCAGTAATAATTGTTTTTTTTTCCAAAAATATTTTGGAACTAGATGGACATAATAATTGAGTGGGATACCTTAAGGAGTTGTTTGTACTTTCTCTCAACTATCATATTTAGTTGTGGGGTATCAATACATGAACTCACATAGATGATTTCAATTTTTGAAAGAAAAGCTCCAAAGATAGAGTTAAAATATTTCTTTTTTTTAATCATTTTAGAGGAGTTGATTTTGCATTGAAATTGAGTTTGGATCATATAATGAAAGCTTTAGAAGATTTGGGTTGTTTCAGCTTTCTCCTTCATTACAAATATTCCAGTAGTTCTAATGTGATCATCCAAAAATGAAACAAACCATCCAGCCCAACTTAAAGATTTCACTATCGAAGGTCCCCAAATATCATTGTGGATAATGAAAAAAAAATGTGAGGGTTTATAATTGGTCATAGGATAAATATTTCTAGTGTCTTTGACAAGTTAACAAATTTCATATTAATAAAAACTAGTTTTTTTAACTATAAATAATGAGAATATACCTTAACAACATAATTGAAATTAAGACGACCCCGACAATAATGTCATGCCATAACATATTTTGTCGATAGACATATAGACTCAACAGGCTCATAAATTGGGGTTAATAAGGAGGTGGGATCATTTTTTGTTTAGATATAGACTTTCCTTAAGCAGGTATAAGTCTTGATACATTTCAGCACTATCAATCACCTTTCCAAATTCCACCACCTGAAATTCACAAGGATTAGCAAGGAATTATTTATAAATTTTATATCATAAGTAAGCTTATTGATTGAGATTAAATTATAGTCCAGTTACAGAACATATAAAACAAAAAAAAAGAGTAATAGCTTGAGAGAGGTCGACATCTCTTTTTTTCCAATAATGTTTGAGTGTGACCAATCTGCAAGTCTTACTGATATAGATGTAAAAATCTCTTGATAGTAGACTAGATTATTTATGGTTTTGTTCATATGATCAAAAACTCCTGAATTTATGATCCAAGTTTTAAATCTCCAATTACTAGTAATATAAGAGAAGAATGTAATACATTGGTGTGTCACGAGGTTTGTGTGTAGCTCTGAATTACCTCCAAGGAGTTTCTTTAGTACTTTATGTTGTTCCTTGGTGAATGGTTCAATCAATCCATTGGATGTAGTTGCGACATAAGCCTTTTTCACTTCATCTTTCCTTCACTGTCTATCTTTTAAGTCTGCAAACTTTCCATGAAGTTTCTAACATGTCTTTGATGTTCAATCTTCTTGCAACAGTCATACGTGGGACGGTTCTTTTTGAATTGTGAGCCATGGGAAGAATTATGGGTGTACAGGGCTAGACTTTCAATACTTAATGAACCCCCTGATTCAGTCTGTATTAGCTTCTTTCTGCTTTCTACTCTCCCGACCTCGGCAAATTCTTCACGAGTAGATTTTTTTTTTAAAGCCCAAAAAAGGCTAATGTATTAAATAGAAAAAAAAATACAGATACAATGCGTGAGAAGGCCCAAGTATGGCACTCTGTCCACACAAAAAACCACAAAAGGTTTCAAAACTAGAAAAAACAGAAAATACATTAGATGCTAAAATAAAAAGTCTGACAGTGTCGAAATACATAATCAGGTAGCTAGAGAGCGACCCAATTTGGTCTTGTCTCTGCCTCTTGTTTTAGGGAAGGAGCAAGTTAATAAGTTGTTTATTGCCATTGTCAGTAGTAACCAATCTATCATCCAATATGTTCCCGAGTTGAAATCGGCTTGCATTCTTCTTCTTCCTCCTGGAATAAACTTGTCCTTCCTCATCCAAAGAATCAGTCTGATGGGGTGGTAGAGCTGAAGCAGAAGGAATACCATCCGTAGTACCCACAATAAGTTCTAGTATATGTGAAGTATGAGTTGCCTCTACACCGGATACTTCCTGAAGAAGTGGAGCTACGAGGCTCTCCTGATTATCAGTCTGAACACTATCATTTATAGGTAATAGTCCATCAGTATTGTTTTCTATGAGATTTGAAGGTATCAGTATCACATCACTTGTAGTAAGAGTAACGACAAGGGCAAGAGAATCAGACACCAAAATCTGTCATGTGGTAGCTTTCTCTCCAGGTGATACAGATATATCCTTAGAACTATTCTTATTCACTTTATCTTTAGATTTCAAATTAGGGTGAAGCTTATGACATTTATCAAGAGTATGCCCAAACATCTTACAATGAGAACAATAAGAACATCTATGCTCCATGGTGATTTGTTGTCAATATTCATTATGCATTGTGCCCAACCAGACTTCAGTAACATCAAACAAAGTAGTATCTCTTTCCACAATTATTCTGGCAACAGAAAAGCTTTTCGATAACTAAAGGTCTATTTTGGGCAATTTTTCTAGCTTCATAGGGTCCCCAAGTATGACATCAATAAAATAGAGAACCTGATGATGAAAAAAATGCAGCTTGAGACCAGGTAGACTAAATCATAAGAGGTTCATGATTGGTTCATGATTGGGGTCAAAATCAGGAGACTACTTGAGTAGCTTCATTGGTTTACCAGCAACGTTAAGATATTTTTTGGAGAAAATACGTGTAGTCTTCAAGCACGGTTAATTGAATCAAAATTTTATGGTTCTCTTTATCTCAATGATGGACATAAAAAACATTACGACATCATGCGAACATTTCAAATGTGTCTCAAATATGTCCAATTGTAGCCGATAGTTTGTCAATGTGTTGAAATATTGAGTGGCACTTACTTCTCCATAATGAATGTCATGAAACTTGGATTTGATCTCAAACAATTCTGCAGTGTTCTCAATGTTGGAGTATGTTTTTTTTTGCAACATACAAGATTACTCTGGCAGTTTATAGAGCAAAAAGTTTTCTCATACTTCAGTGGTTATTAAATTGAACAACCAAAACATAACCATATAGTCTTGATTCTTCTGTGTGGTGGTTAGGTTCAATGATCTATGAACTATGCCCTCTCCTGTGAGATTTTCCCTTTATCACAAAGGTACATGAACACAGATTTAGACCACTATAGATAGTTATGATTTGTGATAAAATAGAGTTCAGGAGTCGTCTGGACAGAATCCTCAACCTCTGACTCAGAATTAATCTATGGAGTAGAACTTGACATCTTCATCTCATACTTGGTTATAAACCTTATGCGTATTTAGGGTGGTTGTTGCCCGTTGCTTCTGCAAATGGAGAAATGGCTGGCGCAGGAAAGGAACAAAAAGAAAATTTCTGCAACTAGAGAAGAATAGAGAAAGATTTCTGTTGCAGGGAAGGACCGAGAAAGGGAGAAAAAGGCCTCCAGGGAGAATTTCTGGCTACATGCAGGGATTTCAAGCATCAGGAAAGTGGACTGCAGGGAGAAAGAGGCCTGCAGGGAGGATTTCCGGCTATCTGCAGGGATATCCAACGCAAAGGAAGGAGACTGGAGGGAGAAAGAGGCCTGCAGGAAGGATTTCCGGCTCTGAAAGGAGGTCCAACTCTGGCAGAGGAGGTCTAACTGCTAGGGTAAAGTCTAAATCTTTGATAGCATGTAGAAAACAGACTTTGGGAGGTAAATACTAGCTTGCTTTATTATACACATATAGGGTACATATATATAGAAAAACCAAATCCTCCTTATTTACAAACTTACCAAATATATCTAATCTATATTTGAAAAGTAAATATCCTAGAATTATAGAAAAAACAAAAATATGAAGAGAATAAAGCTAGTTAAGAGGTTTCCAAAAATATCTCCCGATTCAATCTTGGGAGATTGAAGGTTAGATGGTCCTATGGTTCATAGAATCTTTCCAGATTTTCCACATAAACAATTAAAAGAAAAACCAGCCATTCCAAAAGCAGGGTCTGTTCTAAAAACAATCAGAAATATTGAACTCAAGAGTGAATGACAAACCTTCAGGGCAGCACGCTTGAAAGGAGTAGCTCGGAGGTAAGATTTCACTAGCTTAAAGATAAGTATGTCCAAAGGAATTTGTCTTTCCTCATCTCGTAACCATGGGTGAGCTGCAAAGAATGAAATACTGATTATACTCCCCTGATAACTAAATCAAAACCAAGTTTGCTGCCAAATATAACATCACACCAAAAGAGACTTTGGATTAGCCAATACAAATAATTGAACTATTGTCATAACGCTATCCATAACAAATGATAGGGTTTGTGGAAGGTTAAACTTACTTAGAGCTTGTGCAGCAGTCATTCTTTTTCGATAATCCTTATTCAAAAGCCTTCTAACAAAATCTTTAGCTTCTACAGATACAGATGGCCAAGGAAAATCATCAAAGTTAGGATCTGCACGCAACACAGCTCGAAAGATTCCTGATTCTGTCCGCGCCCAAAAAGGTCTGCTACCGCATAGCAAGATATATGAGATAACACCAATGCTCCAAATATCAGCTTCTGTACCATATGACCTATGCAAGACCTCAGGAGCAACATAATAGGCACTACCAACAATGTCATTAAGTTTTTCATCTGCAATAACAATATGGATAGAATAAATATTGTGATTGGAGCATGGAAGAGAGCGAGAGCCAACTAAACGAAAGACGAAAGAAGAAATTACACTTGCAACAAAAAAAGAAAAAGGATGAGATATCAAATCATTTTATGAGAATATGATTCTATAAACACAATTCATGCTTTTGAGAGGAATTTGTGTAGTATTTGAATGAACTACTGAGGTGACCAACCAGAAATAACTCTAGGACAATGAGAAGTGAAACTAAGAAATCAATTTGAGGGAATTATGTAATTCATGATTCTACAACAAAAATTATAATCATTGGAGAAGAGTTCGATTGAAGTATTCAATACTGCACAGACACCAATCTTCCATGTAAGTGCAAATTAGAGGTGTGAATTAAAGGACTAACTGTTGTAATCCTCCTTTGGTCCTTGAGAAGGGCCACATTACAGCCCAAAAGAGTGTAGCAGGAAATTCTAAGCACTTCTGATTCATGAAACCTACCAAAGAAGACGGAGAAGGGATGGGGGTGATGATCTAATGACCAAATCTCAACAGACCCATGGGCAGTCTACAAATCACAAAGTAGCCCTAAAATGATGATAAATCAAGCAAGAGGAAATCTTTTTTCATGTAAGAAGAAACAATATTCAATTATACATCTTATTTGAACGTGTTAGCCACTAAATTCTTGCATTACAACATTGGCTATCAATGCTGGTGTTTGGCCCTTAAAAAAGGAAAATAATTGTTGTTCAATAACAATAGTGTTGCATGAAAGCAGAAACCAAAAGCCAAAAAAAAAAAAAAAAAAAAAAAAAAAAAGCAACAATATAACACTTATTTGAATGAAAATTTTAAATCATTCTATATTATACTAGCAAAAACCAGCCCAATATACTAGCTAAGGATAAAAAAAAATCATGTAACAATAAGAAAAAAAACTAGATCTATAAAAACTATGATATCAAATAGTATTTCCTCTGGCAAAGTGGTGTTGACAGATAGTTCCATTAATGTAATTGTATCAATATGATATTCCTATAATAAAGGCAATATTACGAATCCATGAATAAAAGCACATTTGTAAGCATTGGATGGCTCAAGGAAAAGACAAGGCAACAAAAACATAAAAACATGCACATCCATAAAGAATCGCTAGTTCAAAATAAGTCCTTCAGTTTATTCAAGCAAGGAGTCATCAGAAAACATTAGTTTCAACAATAATCCAACATGATGAAAACTGTCAACACTAATGACACATTGTAATCCACTACGGCAAAGAAAAGTTAAACTTCTTAATTTCTTCAAAAGATAACACCAAAAAAAAAATCAACATCAAACGAAAAAGAAAAAGTAATATACCCAGAAAATTGAAGTCTAGCACAACTTCAAGACCAAAAGTACATTATTAAGAGTATCCCATTAAATTAGATGCAAATTGAAGACTCAAACTAGCATTAATATAAGTTCCATGGATCTTAAATCAATATGATAGTGCACCAGTGACTTGGCCATAAAGCATGAATGACTGGCAATAGTTCAAAATTTCCACCACGCTAATAGCAAAGTATTAAGTACATTATTTTAAACTTACCTGGCCTAATAAAATCAGAAAGACCAAAATCAATCATCTTCATGGGAGCATTTTCTTCTCTAGTACTGAATAAAAAGTTCTGTGAACAAGTTTAGCAAAAAATAAGTATAAGCAACATAGTATGATGTAAGAAAAAAAAAAATTGTCAATCATACCTCGGGCTTTAAATCACGATGTACAACACCCTGTAGATGACAAAAGGCAACCACACTAAGGATTTGCAGAACAATCGCTTTTGCATCTTCCTCCGTGTACCTCCCTCCTCTTTTTAGCCAAGACAAATTAAAGAAATAAGAAATCTTAAATGTATCATCTAATGATGATGTAGACATTCCAAATAGTTATAACAAAGCATGTGATCACAATTAAAATAGACAGAAGTACATTTCCCCACATATAATTTGAATGTATTTGAATCACCTTGATAGGATTCTATCCAACAATTCTCCACCTTCGCACATCCTAAAAGAAAAAAAGAGAAAACAAAAAAAAAAAGCTTATCAAAGGAAAAATAAGGAAAAATTCTTGAGCTGAAAAAAAGATAAAATGCCCAAATCAAGAACTCAAGGCTGTTTCTTAAAGGCAAACCATAAGCAAAACAGTGATCAATAACTCATAAAAAAGTAGCGACATACTCCATGACTATGTACACGTTAAGACTATCTTCACATGCGTCATAAAACTTGACCATATTTGCATGTCCAGATAAAGCTCTCAGAATCTTCACCTCCCTACGAACATCTTCAATAGCTATTGGTGTTGTCATCTAAAAGAGAAAAGCATAAACAAAAAAGTTCAGTGAAGTCATTCACGTACACATTCACAATGGAAATGATTGATGCTTAAAATAAGGTGAAAAATGATAAAATTTAGAGTGTCAAAAACATACTGGTAAGCAATTTTGAGAAGTAAAATTAGAAAATCAAGCTTTCATCATTTCAAAATTCTTTTAAATTTCTGTGAGAAACGAGCTTTCCAAGGAGAGTGACGGATGGGTTGTTAAAAAATACTGGAGGTTTTATCTCCCCAGAGAAGATGGATATATTTAAAACAGAGCAAATTGAAAAGAAAAAAAAAAACTCCAATCTTTTTTTAGACAACTATCAACATGTTACGCAGCCCAAAAGCCAAGTCAAAAAATTGTAACATCTATCCAGAATGCGTCCATATAGTTGAAGCTGTGAATGGTCAATAGCATTTACCAAGTCCAAGATTAAATCATATTGTATTATTTGATAAAGTTCGAAGTGGGTAAAAAAAGTCTAAAATTACGTGTATCCAGCCAGCACGAAACCTAAATGTACGCTCCAAGACAGAACAAGAATCACCACAGAAGAAACACAAGCAAATTCGAACAAGTACCATAAGATCGAGAATCCATAACCGAAATCAGACAGTCAGTCATTCAGTGGCAAACCAATGACAAAACAAAGTTCAAGATTAACAAGATCAAAATAAGAGGATATGAGGAGAAACCCCCTCTTTCACATACCACCGCACCTTAGCTTTAGAGATAGTCTTGACGGCGACAAGCTGCCCCTTAATATCCCCCTTCTTCGCCCTAGCGGAGCACGTATGTCCAAAGTGCCCCCGCCCAACCTCCTTGCCCAGCTCATACTTGACCGCAAAGTTCTTCCCATATCCAAAACTCTTATCCAGGGGCCGCTCCGGCCTGCGGTCCTCCCCGCCGCCGCCGTCCTCCGGGATCGGACTCCCGACGGGCTTTGGCGGGCCGAGGCGCTTGAGGAGGGAAGCCTTTATGTGCTTCGCAGGTGATGGAGGTGGGAAAGGTCGACGGAAGAACTTACGAGGGGTAGACCTCGCAGGCGACGGCGAAACGCCAGCTGGAAGTGGGCTAGCGCCGCCGTGGGGATACGGGCTGGCCCAAGGGCTGGCGGCGGATGATCGGGTGGGGGTGGTTCCGTTCACCGTCGCTGGAGGAGGCGCGACTTGACTGCGGCCGGCAGCGTTGCCGCCACCATCGTCCTCCGCTACATGGATGTTCTTTCCGTAGCACAAACCCATCCCTCACGGCGGCGGTAAGGCAAGTCAAAGCCTGCGAAGAGTAAGAGGGTTAGTACTCGGGGCTTGGTCGGCGACGGGAGATCTAGTGATAGAGATTGAGGCGGACTAGAAAGAGAGAGAAGGAATTATAAATATAGGGGAGGGAGAGAGAGGAGGAGGAAGGAGTAACGGAAAAGAAGCGAAGGATCTGAGGGCAAGAGTGCGAGCAGAGAGCCAGGTGGGGGCGCCGGTTTTGTTTTGGATTTTTCTTCCTCTGTTTCCTAATTTCTGAAGGTATTTAAATAATATAATTATTAGGAAATTTTGATTTAATAATTTTGATTTCATCTCTTCATATTCTCGGGGATTATGTGTTTTGTCGGCTTTAAGCTGACGTTGCCCGAACAGCGGACAGGGAATTGGACCAAAAAAAAAATTTTTTTTTCCTTTTTTGGTGGATTTTTTTGTTAATTATCTCTTACATTTTATATGTTTTTAAATTTGCAAAAAAAAAAAAAAAATCATTTGAATCTTGAAAATTATAATTCAAATTATTGTTTTCAATAAATTCTCATTGATTTAACTTTAGCATATATTAGAAATTTGGTAATTTATTTTTAATAATATCATTTTTAATTAAAAATATGATATCTCAATAGTCGTTAAGCCGCTCTTTCATTTTTATGATTAGATCAATTGATTGTGCTTCTTTTGAAACTTCTCAATCAAAACTCAATTGCTATGCACATGAAAAAGAAATAAGCATATCAAACAAGCATCTATGCATACATATGTGCATGTGCTTATGATGTGTATATATATATATATAATAATTAATAATTTTAGCATACTTTTTTTTAATCACGCAAAAAACATGTAAATATACCAAATATTTGTTCTATATTTTATGAGTAGTGAGTAATGAACTAATAAACATAATAACAAAATTTTAAATCAATTGCTCAAGTTAATGGGCCATTTAGATTATCAAACACCATTGATACATATCCAAATAAAAGTCTAGCATGATTAATGGTGACTGTGCGGATAAATTTTTAGTTGAAAAATATACTAATAAATGAAATAATATAAGAAGTATTAGCATACAATGGTTCCATTCAATCTCTCACCCTCAGCTAGCAAAATTTCAGGGACAGCTGGACTGACAAGCAAGCTGCTCCCCTCCCATCTTCACTTGGTGTTGTTGCTTGGTTTATTTGGATGACAAGAAACCACTTCAAGTTTGAATGGAAGACTTTGCCTCCAAAAAGTGTTGTTAGTCGTTGTTTGGCCTTCATCTTGAAGCTTACAAATTATAAGAAGATCCCCTCCCTGTGTCCCACTAGCACATCTTCTGAACTTCAGCAAAATGAACTAGTTTCCCTTATACAATGGCGGAAGCCTTCTCCACCCTTGGTTAAATTCAACACTGATGGGAGCTTCATGCAAAATGAAGCTGGAATTGGGGGTGTCCGGAGAGATCTTCTTGGGAAGTGCTCCCTATTCTTTCTGTCCCCTGTCAAAGCAAAGGATGCAATTAAAGCTGAAGTTATTGCCATATTTTGGGTTGTTAAGTTCTCCAATCTGTTATACATGCATCAAAGTATGATAGAATCTGACTCTCAGCTACTTGTTTAGAGTCTTTATGCACTTGTTTACCCTCCTTGGCATATTATTCATTGGATCCAAAAAATTATATCCATGGTGGCTCATACTAATGTAATTTTTTCTTTTATTCCTAGGGAGGGGAATAGACATGCCAACTGGTTAGCTAAGATGGGTAGTCTCTCTGCTACTACTGTAATTGAAAAAGTTTCTCCTCCCTCTCTTTTTGTACTTTGGTAGAGTATTTGGATATCCCCTACATTAGATTTTGTAACAAGTTTTGAGCAATACATAGCCTCTTGGTATATCTCTACTTGTTGTAGACATACAAGAGTTTCCTTATATACACACACACACACACACACACACACACACACACATATATATATATATATATATATACACACACACAAAAGTGTAGATGTTTATAATGTGTACAAGATATATATGATGTTAATACAATAGTATTCAAGTATTAAGCAGTATAAATATGATATTCTAATCAATAATTTTAGCATAGTTTTTTTAATCAAACAAAGAACATGCAAGTATACAAAATATTGTTCAATGTCTTATGGGTACAAGAAAGCAAGCTTGAAGTGTGAGTAATGAACTAATAAACATAAAAACAAAATGTTAAATCAATTGCCCAAGTTAAAGAGCCATTTATATCATTGAACACCAATGATACATATCCAAAAAAAATTCTAGCATGATTAGTGAGGATTGTGAGGTTAAATTTCTAATTGAAAAATATGCTAATAAATGTAATAGCATATGAAGTATTCAATTAAGAATATATATAATCTTCAGAGAATAATATACAACTTTTTTTATGTAAGATTACACCAAATTAGCTTACATTCATACTTAAGCCCCTCTACTTAGGATTTTATCACTAGCCTCCCTAATTACTAATCGAACAACCAACATAATTTTCTCCTACAACAAATAAACACAGCAAAAATAACACTTCTATTAATGGATGAGAAAAACTAACAAATCATTTTTATAAGATTAAAATATTTTAAATTAAGTTATTAAAGAATTTTGAAGTGAATTAATGTTATAATTAATGAAAAAATTGTTAGATTTGCATAAATAAAATACAAATGAATTGGACATACAGTATTACCTAGAGCTGACTTAGAGATTTTACTAATTGAAACTTCCATAGTATATGAAAAATGTGATCATTTAAAATCCTTATTCAATTTCTTCACACTTTTGATTTTAAAAGTATTTCTAAATCTAGGTTTATCAATATTTCAGCTTTCTTTTCACCTTACTAGTTGTATAAATAGTCAAAGTTTACTATGAAATACTCTTTAAATTTCCCAAACATTCTTAAATGATTTTTAAAAAATGGGTCCAACAACTAATTTGATACATGAGCTTTCTCAACACATAAGCTAGATTAGGAAATTCATAAAAGCTCTATGTTGAAAAATAGTAAGGAAAATATGGAAATTTATAATAAGGAAATAAGGAAATTTATATGATATAATATATCAAAAATGAATTATAATAAAATTGAATAACTTCATATAAAAATTGTGAATAAATAACTTTAAAAACATAATGAAAAAGTTATGAGCAAAAGAATTAACTATAATATACTTTTTAAATTGTTCATCATTATAATTAATGCAATTAAAAGCTACACGTGAATATGAAGTTGCTTTCTAAAACTTTTGATGGAATTTGGGCTACAACTTTACTAACTTTTAATGTTATAAGAATTCTAGTAGTATTCATAAAAGATACAAATCTAATGGACATTTACTTCGTAAATTATTCATTAGTAGAGATTTGATGGACTTTTAAGAAAATTTATCAAATTCTACATATTTACCAGTGAATAAATTCAGATGGAAACCAAATAAATTATTTTAATGAACATCTTCCCTTTATTTTATAGATATTTTGTTATTCTGAGTGTCCTAGCTTTTTCTCAATTTCATTGACAACACTTTTTTAATAAATCATTATGATGAAGAATAATACTTATATGAATAACATGCTACTTCATAATTAGGCTTTCAATAATATTTGAGAGATATTAGAGAAAAATACATATCCGAGAGAAACTCAATAGAGAAGCCACTTGGTGATAATACTAGATTAGGAGGAGCTAGATAACATAGAAGTTATCTCTTAAACTAAGCTGACAAATTTCATGACTAAAATGTTTACATTAAAAAATACAAAATCCTTCCACATTTTTTTTTTCTCAAAAAGAGCGTGATTTTTATATATAGTAAACTTTTATATTGCATAATCTGTTAAAGAATAATTTGTAGATCGTCTTATTAGTTTTCTAACAAGACCAAGGCCAAGTCAAACCGAGTAATATGCTAAGAGATATGAAAAATATCGAAGAAGCATAGACAATTCAAGGCCAAAAAATTTTTTAAACCAAAATTAGGTTTTAAATGGGCATGAATGCTAGTACAAAATAGGAGAGCTTAGCTTTAATGCATATATGTTTTGGCCACCATGATATTCCCCAAGTAAGCTTGATAAAAGCAAAAATATTGAATATTTTTATAAATATTATTATTATTTACTTTATATATTAACAAAAATATTAAAATTAATTTCTACAGTAATTAATAAATTATAATTAGTTTTTAATTAATTAAAAATAATTGAACAAATGAAATAAACTAAGAAGATTTGAAATTTGTAAAATTTATTTCAAATTGAAATATTTACAAAATGAGAGTTTTCTTAGGTGACTTCGGTTGTCTAGGATGTAATTAACTACAGGGGCTTGCGCTTATATGAAGTATTTCTGAACCCAACTTAATATAAACCCTATTTAATCCTTCATATTAAATAGGGGAACTTGTCGGCTTATAATAAAAATGATTTTGCAGACTTAACGGATGTCATACAATCTTTAGTTTATTTAATCGAGTCTTACCAGTAAGTGGTGTGTCTATCCTTCGGGATGAATACATTACTTGTGGTATTAAGCTCGTTTATCTAAACCACTGGGGATATGAGATCGGTTCGGTCTTGTATTTTTCAAGTCGGTCTTGTAATTTTCAAGATCCAAAATACTATTTTTTTTTCCAAATTATATATATTAAATTAAATCAAAACGGGTGTTGGGATATCCATCATAGCAGCCGACAACTTCACAACTCTCAACTTTTTAGTACCGACAATAATTTTAGGATGAAGGCCAAAGAATCGAAGTGTCTGGCTAAAGAAGTATGATCTAAACCAGCCACCCGACGATTGATAACTCGATCAAGTCGGCTAACATGCGATGTTGGCGGGTCGAATCGGAGGACTACGCTTATGGTCCAAGATATGCAAACTTTTTGCTAGGACGTCCAGTTACAACTAGTCGATCGATTGGCTTTACCTTGGTAGGAGCGATCGTAGACCAGTCGCTCTGATCAACTGAACTCAACTAATTGATAGTCATAGTATTACACTCAAATTGTAAAGTAAATCAACACATTAATTACATTATGGGCGGTTTCCATAATCGTTCTATCTTTTCTGTAATTGTACAAATAGGTCCCTATAAATAGAGAGTCAGAAGATCAATAAAGGGACTTTTTCCCCCAATTTCTCTGCCGGGAACTCTCTAACTGCTCTACTCTCTCTCTCCTTCTCCCA